TCGAATAACTCGAATAACGTTTAAAAACATATAAATGTCATTTAAACACGTCGCGACAAATGATCGTAAAAGGAAGAAAAGAGATGAGCACGTGGGAATCGTTTAAACCTGAAGAGCCCGAGATCGAGATCGCTGCCGCCCGGTGCCATGCTGGCGGCGATTTCGTTTGGGGATTATTCCAGACGATTTCTCATGTCGTTCTATGTGTGTGTAATCGTCTCGGCCGGCTGTAAAGGTACTGTTACTACTCAAATTAGAATCACCTTCTTCTATTCTTCCTCATCTTTGTAACATTATAAGAGATAACGATCTGAAAAATCTGTTATCTGAGAAATTCACTCTTGCTACAAAATAGATTATCTTCTTCCATGCGTTGTATTATTAATTATGTTAACGGAAATCGATAAATAATTTATTATTTTTGTTTGCTTATATGACGCCAGAATTAAACTAATTTGATTAATAATTGTTGAATATAATAGTGGAATATTTTGGAATATTTTAACTTAACTCTAAAAATTTTTGTTCTAACTTTTTACGATTCTTTGTCGATGAACTTAGTATAATTTTTACAATAATGCTCCATATTTTCTAAATAAAGCATAAGTAATAGCATAAATAATAAAATGTACTTTTAAGATCTTCATAAATTTTTTTAATTATTTAATGCTATCAATTTACTAAAACATATACTGCTAATATCTATTTTATCTCCATAACCACATATAATTTATATCTACACATAATTTATATTGATATTTTCTATTTTTCCATTAACATTTAATTAGGGGACGAAGTTATTAACATAGTTAACAAGGTTAGTTAATCGGGCAATAAATCTCAAGCTAGGACGTACCGTTTTTATGTTTATTTTGAGAAACAGATTCCCTCCCTACGGTTCACACGCGACGCGTCACCGAATCTAACGGTAACGTTGATTCGTCCAAAACGTCGTTTCCTCCTATACAAGTCGAACGTTATCGAGTTGTATATTTACTTACATCCTTGTGACCGATAACGGTATATGCGTTTCGGTGGTTCGTTTCATGAATAAATTATTCTAACTGTCACCACAAGACAGTGACATTCTTTTTTGTAACTAATGACAAATTTTAAATTAACATACAATACGAGCAATTTACTTATATTTACTTTTATTCTTGGAACCACAAAACTATTTTTACTTTAAAATTCAATTATCGTAACTTATTGTTAGTTTATAACAATCGAATTCATACATTTTACCGCGTTATTTTATGGAAATACTTTATAAAAAGAAATGAGTACTTATAATGTGAGTCACATAAGATGTAATAGATTTCAAAATGTTAAGCTATAAAATGCAATGTTCGAAAAATCGAAAGCAAAACTTGACTTATTCCATACATTTAAATATCAAATGTTTGACTTAATCTTAAAATTTAATATTTATCTAATATCAAAATAATATAGAATAAAATATATATAAAATAATTTTACAAAAAAATCTAATTTGATTATTGATGGTGTTATCGTCACTACATGCGGAGGAATGTTGAAGGAATGGCGAGAGAAGTAAATACTTTGTAATTTTAATTATAGGAACTGTTATAAATTATAATATTCGAACAACAAATTTATGTTTACATTATTTGGTATTTTTGTAATTTTGCGACCTTTTTATTTATCTATATTTTTATATTACTGAGGATGGCCTAATGAGGGTCGAAACGTTTAACATTGTATTTTTGAAATTATTTTAATATTAAAATTCATTTATTAGCACTTAACATTCTGCATTGACCTTTATCGTTTAATTTGTTTTTCTAATTTGATTAATTTTTAATTCGACGATAATTTTTCTGTCAATTACTGATAATACATAGTAGAGCGAAAAAAATTTTGTCAGTAAAAAAGCGAAATTTTGAACAGTATCTAGATAACAAATTGATGTCAAAAACGTTATTTTGATGTTAAAATGACGACAAATAATGTCAGCCTGCTACTTAAGTAATTTTGTGGTTGCATCTAGAAAAAACCGCGGCCTGCGGCGGTATAGTCAAACGTTGCATTTACGTTGCGTCTTAGATAATAAACGTTCGAAACACCACGAAGCGGTACAGTTGTAAAATAATCATTTCTTTGAAAGAAATATTTAGTGTCTCTCCTTGTCTACTTGAGTCTGTGTAGATTTCAAATTCCTAACCCGCGAGGGATGGATGCATACACATAATAGATAGACCTATTATGAATGGATGTTACAACTGTCCAACCACATTCACTTGAAGGTCTACTCAGTTGACACTAATTAAAAGTAATATAACATCAATGTTATGATTTGGCGCTCAACAATATAACGTAAATATAACACATGATGTCACATAATTACAATTACATTGTTGAGTACACAACATTGATGTTTTGTTATACTTTTAATGGATGTCGACTGAATGTTATCCAAACTTCACTTTGGATTTATGAATCTAGATCTAAGTTGTTGATTTTTTCTTGTTTTCGCAAAATTGATTGTCCGAGACAAGCGAATTTTATAGGACTTGTGAAGATCGATCATTGATAGTATCTTTGAATTATAACTTCGAAGAAACGTTTAATCTATATCTTACTCACCGTGAGGAACATTTGTTTCAGCTTCAGTTACAAGTCCTTTCTCGGCCCGTCCGATAATCTCCACGTTACATTAAAATCGAGCAGACTGTTCTTGAGAGACGGGGTAAGTAAAAAAAAAAGTTATAAATACCGAAAAAGAGAATATTAGAATTGGGACCACGATTCTCTCTTTCGCTTCCTTAAACACCGTTCATGTCACTGCACCGGATGTCGAGTGGGGTCGAGCACCTCCGTCCTCGCAGGTGGATGTCCAGAGGTTGACTGTAGAATCGTAAGTAACCGCTCTGTGCTTGGGCAGCCAGTCAGGGCGAAAGAGGGGATCTTTCTTTCTCTTTCTTCCTCTCTGATCGGGTATACTGGCCCCTATTCTGCCTCTAAACCTTTTTCCGCGTATTGGTGGAAAGAGAAGACAATTTTTTTTATGTAAGAGGGTAAATCTCTGCCACCTCTCTGCTATGACTACGTTTACACGGAACGATTTACGCCGAAGTTATAATATCGATGTTAGGAAACTGATCAATCACAGTCATTCCATTCTTTAGAGAAACAGCTGTGATTGGTTTCATAATATCGATAACTTCAGCGTAAATCGAGCCATATAAACGTAATGTATGACTCCCTTTTTCAAATAGGTCATATAGATTGGAAAACGCAGTGAGTATTCAAAGTTTTTCTATACTAGAACAACCGAGAGGAAATAGGGACTCGTAGAAAACATTATTCCTCTTAAAAAAAAAGCTTAAAAAGCTTTAAATTAATTTTCTATAAATAAAAAATTTATTTTGTTATACAAGTTCTACTATTATAGGATCGCAAAATTGGAAATCAGGGAACTTTACAAAATTTTTTGAAAAATTAAAATTCTTAGTTTTAAAGAAGTTTAATATGCGTATATCACACAGTTTTGGATCAACTCAACCATTAAATGTTAGTTAATAGTAATCTACATTAGCTGTGTTCGGCAAAAGGTTTATTTTGTAACTGTTGAAAGTTTTCTTTGCTGAGATAGGATTATTCTTGTAGATTTAGGCTGCGGTCCACTTGACGCTACAAATGCTTCGAAACATTTTTTGATTAGTCAATTCGTAAAATTCTTTGTTCTGATTGGTCGCTCAAACGCTTCGAAGCATTTGTAGCGTCAAGTGGACCGCAGCCCTAAAAGCATAATTCAATTAGCGCAGCGCGAAGAAAACTTCCCAACAGTTATAAACATTTTGTTGAACGCGATTATGTTAAATTGCTTTCTCAACCAAATATTTGATGGTTTCCAAGAAAAAAAATTAAAAAATTATTATTGAAAGCATTAGGAAAAAGCATAAAATTTTGTCTGGAAATCAGGGAAAAGTTATGGAATTTTAGGATGAGAAATTTGTGTAATCCTATATCAATATCGATTAAAATTAAGAAAAATGCGGATTTCAGATAAATACTAAACATTCAACAAATGATAATTTTTTATGGGATTTTTGAATTTGCTGAGACTGTGTAAACATAAATCTGTTGGATATATTCAACCAAAAGCAATATATTTTAAACGGAATTAAATTATTAAATTGCTCTTTTATTGCACAAAGAAACACACGATCTTTTTTTATTAACACTGAGCGAAAAATATTTGGTATTTGTAGCTATAATTACATACTATGATTATTAAATCATACTATTATGATTATTCTATTACAATGTTAATAATAATCATATGTATAGTTCTAGCAACAAATATATATAGCAACCTATAAAATGATAATTAATAATTATAATCATAAAAATGGTTGACATTACCATAAAAATGTTTCAAATGATTACAAATATAATTTGAATAATTTTTATGGCTATAATTGTAATTATAGTCATTTTATAGGTTAACTATATATTTGTTGTTCGGATTATACGTATGGTTATTATTACTAATATTATAGCAGTAATAATCATAATTATAGTAATATGTAATTGTAATATCAAAAATTTTTCTCTTTCAATGTAATTTTTTATCAGCACCAATCATGATAGCTTTATTGCTTGCGATGTTTTCGGAAAAATTTTAGAGAAAATCAAATCAAGCCACGAATAATGTCAAAATTTGCTGAAATTACCAAAAATCCCAGATCTTAAAATAAAAATTTCACGTAACATAAATCATCTTGAATAAAAATCTTAATGAATAGAGAACAAACAAAATGGATATAGATAATCTATGCTATTATTCTACAATTATTTTATAATTCTATAATTATTTTTTATGGAAAATGATAAATAATTGATAGATTAAACCAAGTAACATTAATACTTTGATCATTGTAGAAAATAAATTCTGTGAAACTTATTCTAGATCTTACACTAGATCTTAATTGTGCTAAAAATAATATATCTCAACATTCGTTATGATGTAATTTATAATGTATTCAAAAACATTTTTGTATTGCGAGCATTTGCAAGCTGTTTTGATAAAATTAACACTTTTGTAACATACATAGAACATATACAGAATGTTGCAATCAGCAACTGCGAATAAAACATGGGTATGTTAAGTGTACGATTTGATAACAGCATGTTTAATAACATTAATTCTCTCGAGTAATAGCAAATTCGGTTGAAAAAACAATATAATAGTATAAATGTATACAGTTATTTATATGCAGAATTTAAATGTAACGTAAAATGTCTAGCTTACAAGAGAACGTGCTACATTGCAAAATTGATATAAAAAAAAAAACGTTAGCAACCGAAAGATCACATTCGAAATGGGTATTCTAGATGATCAAATATTGAGATACCATGGATTTTATACCTGACTTGGGCCGAAACATATTTGGAGACATGAAATATTTCGAGAATAATGTGATTGAGCCCATTAAGACTGGAAACTATTGGTAACTCATCTGATGGTACTTTTCAAACCCTACCCAGTGAGAAATGACAAGGAAATCGACATCGAAATCATCAAATTGACGTTGATTCGACATTGATTCCATTATTTCTCACTGGGTAGGATTTAACTCTTATTTGAAACATTTTTTTCAAAAATGCATTGTTCTCGAGATATTTTATATTTAAGTTAAAATAGCCAAATATGTTTCGACCCTTGTCGGGTATAGAAACAGGATTTCAAGATTTGATCACCTAAAATATCTATTTCAAACGTGATCTTTCGACTGGTAATGTTAGTTTTTTTTAAATCACTTCTGCAATGTAGCACATTCTCTTGTCAGTGAAATATTACACATATTTTGCCAAATACACTAACTTGTGCTAAATATTTTACTAGCTTCCAAGTTTCATTATATAATTCTAGTTATATGATTTTGGTACATTCAATGGCAGCTTCAATTTGTATGTGTATAAATCAGTGAACATATCAACCGAATTCATTATAATCTCTCGTCTTTTCTTTAAAATCTTAGACAACAACTGTTTTATATATTTTAGCATACATGTTTACAGTATAAGTCAGTATTAAACTTAATTAATTATTTTACTGATTTAAATATGGTGAAAATAATAAAAAAATCACGAAGTGTAATTGTTTAATCCTCGAATTTAATGGAATTAACACGTGTATCTATATGCCCACCGCGGTAAGAACCACGCTTCTTTTTTTGTTTCTCATGTCGAAACTTCTTGCCCTTTGTAAACTTCAATACATCATTAGCGCGTTCCCCCCATGATCCTCTTGCACCTTTCTGTACAGAAAAAAAATAAATGTTAAACATCTTTACATTTTTCTTAAAGATTATATCTTTGTAGTAAAATCCCGATTTTTCCCTCACCTTTATATACATCTTTATTATTAATCATCAAAAGTGATTTTTTTATTTTGAGGTGGGCCTGCGATATCGAAGGATTTTCTTTTATCGAAACCACCCTTAAAACCTCCTCTATCATTCTCATTGTTTCCCCATGATTTTCTGGGTCCATCATTATCCCTGTTTCCGCCCCAAGATTTTCTGCCATCAAAACCACCTCTACCGCCACCTCTACCGCCACCTCTACCACCACCACCACGACCGCCTCTAAAACCACCACGACCTCCGCGACCACCTCTATCATTATCGTTGTTCCAATGTCCAGCGTTATCACCACCGTTACTCCAACGCCCACCCCGATCGCCGCCGCGTCCACCTCTAAAACCACCCCTACCGCCTCTAAATCCACCCCTAAATCCACCACCTCGTTCGAAGTTTTGTTTTTTAAAACTGTTATCACCATCTTCATCCTAAAACAAAAGAGGAATAGGTCAGTCGCCCATATTGGAAACATGTTATTACAAAGCCATTTACGTCTTTCTTTTCTTCTTGCTTTTATTTGTTTTAGATTTTAAAATTTGGATAAATTTGGTGAATGCACGGAAACATGGTCTCAAGCAGGGTCTCGAGCTTTTGTAAAAAGGGCGAGCGACCTATGCCTCTTGGACGGTTTCCAAGCATTTACCTTTGCTTCAAACGAATTATTAGCCAATTTAGGGTCCAACATGATGTCCTCGCTTTTCACACGCTGATATGTACGATTTTTCTGCGGCTAAATAAAAATCATAGGTGATAAAAAAAAACATTTATATCATTTCTCAGTAATGTTTAAGATAAATGTACCAGTTGGATCCAATTTTCCATTATGAGATTAACTTGATGTTAAGCTTGAGCTGTTTCACTCAATAGGTTTCACCCATGACATAATCACAGATGAAACCCATTAGATAAGACATCAGGTTAAGCCTAATCACAAGTTAACCAGGAAATGAAAAACCAGACGTTAGGGGACATGATCCAATTTATCCAATTATTGGACGAAACGACAAAAATTTTAAATATCAAGCTTTTAATATTTATGACCCTAAATAAATTCATTATTTATAAAAATTTAATAACGATTTATTTTGAAACGTACATATTACTAAAGTTTAATATTTTTAATTTTTGTCATTTCATTCAATAATCCAGTCATGTCCATGAACTAATATATTTATTTTAATTGTTACTTAAACATAGCAGTAACGGTTATATTAAAAAAATGAACAAGAAAACGTTTATTGAATGGGCGATTGAATTAGATGTGCAATTCTCAAACTTTTTAATGAGTAACTTTTGCAAGAAGAATGTATCATCACTTTCCATTCAATTTAGCCAATTTGACATTAAAAATGTTAGACTATTTTAGATATATTTTATATACAGGGTATCTGGTAAGTTTTGACAAAGTGTGTAGACAGAGCGGACTAAACTGAGTCAAAAAGTCATCTACCATTTTGTAATTTTCGTAATAATTAATGAGATATTAATTACTAAAAATCGCTGAATATTAGTTTACAATAATTTTTTATTCAAATACTATCACCTTTACAGAAAAACGAGAGACAAAAATTATTTAATTTCTTCTCATAAAGTTCTCGTGTTAATAAAAATAAGAAAATTCAGTATTAAAAAGTTGATACAAAATTCTTAGAGTTCTATGAGAAGAAAATAAACAATTTTTATCTCTTGCAGTTTTTCTGTAAAGTTGATAATATTTGAGTAAAAAATTATTGAAGACAAATATTCGGCAATTTTTAGTAATTAATATCTTGTTAACTATTGCGAAAATTGCAAAATGGTAGAAGACTTTTCGACTCAGTTTAGTCCGCTCTATCTACACACGAGCGCTTTGTCAAAACTTACCAGACACCCATATATGTATGTGTGTGTATATATACCTTATTTCCATAGAAGTGACTACCACTATTAGCTTTCACAAAGTTGCCATAGCTATTTTTTGTAACTTTTGCTGGTATTTTTTCTTCATCATTATCAGTATGTTTCCTTTTTTGTCCCTTGTCAGCTGGTGTGTGAACTTTTATCTTCTCTTTATTGGGGTTGCTAGAGTCTGAATTAGATTCATTTGAGGATTCTTTTTTGGCGACTGTCTTGGCCGGTGCTGTTGTCGGTGCCTCATCTTCCGAATCATCTGAATCTTCGCTGGAAGATTCTTTCTTCTTCTGTGTTTTACTAATCGCCCCTTTCGATACTGCTGTTGTCACTGGTTTCTCTTCTTCATCAGACTCATCGTCCGACTCCTCGCTTGACGAATCTTTTTTCTTAATAGAACTAATTTTATTAGCAGTATTTTGATTAGTGACAGCTGACATTTTATTAGATGCCACTGTCATTGGTTTCTCTTCTTCATCGGATTCATCTTCTGAATCCTCGCTTGACGAATCTTTCTTCTTTATAGAACTAATTTTATTAGCAGTACTTTGATTAGCGAGAGTTGGTTTTTTAATAGGGGGTTTTTCATCTTCGCTGCTTTCTTCGCTCGAGGAAGATTTTGTTTTCTTAGCGGTGATTGCTGGAGTTGATTTCTTAGCAGCGACTGTCGGAATTGGTTTCTTGGTGGCAGCTACTGGAGTTGGTTTCTTAATAGACTGCTCTTCTTCGCTATCTTCGCTATCATCGCTATCTTCGCTCGAAGACTCTTTCTTGGTAGATAATTTTACTGGTGCAGCTTGTTTATTGGGAACTATTTTTTGGGGCGTTTCTTCTTCGTCGCTACTTTCTTCACTCGATGACGACTCTGATTTTTTAATTGCTTTTGCTGGCGCTGACTTATTCTGATTTTGTGCCTTCAAAGTTACAGCAGCTTTTGTTACAACCGTCTTAGGTTCATCTTCGCTGCTCTCTTCTTCGCTCGAAGACGAATCTTTTTGCATAGCAGTAGCTGACGAAACTGATTTCTCATTGGATTGCTGTTCCTCGCTGCTATCGTCGTCACTAGAAGATTCTTCCATGGCAATTTGTTTTGCTGGCACTGTAGATTTACTGAGAACTGGTTTTTTCTGTACATTCTCATTCAATGCATCCACATCACGACCTTTGTTCTTGTTTGTAACCGGTGTTGCTGATTTATTCTGTTTTTGTATTTTTGAAGCTGAATTTGTTATGGGTGTGGATGTCTTCATTGCTGACTGTTTAATACTTTTTAAATCTACTATTTGAACATCAGGACTCGTTGAAGATGAATCATCAGAAGTTGAATCAGATGAATCAGATGATTTATCCATTGATTCAACTGCTTTCAACACTGCCTTCGCTGCTTTGGCGACAGTACCAGATTTGGCTTTGTCATTTGTTTTTGCTTGTAGCACAGCTTTTGTTTGAACTTTTGGTGGTTCTTCATCTTCAGAGCTCTCATCAGAACTTTCTTTCTGCAGAGGAGCCTTTGCATTTGTATTCTTTTTCTTTGCTACTTCTTGAGTTTGTGCTTCATCTTCGCTAGAATCGTCTTCTTCGGAAGATTCCGTTACCTTTTTAAGAGCTACTGTCTCAACTGCTTTGCCATTAACTTGCTTATTTTTTTCCGTTTCCTCTTCACTTTCCGAGCTCGAATCAGAACTGCTTTCCTTAGTTACTTGTGTGACTAATGGAACCTTTTTAGGAGAGTTCTTTTGGAAATATTTAAATATTTCCAATAATGTTGGAATTTCTTTTTGCAGGAGAGGCTGAAATATACAAGCATCGATAAAGCAATTATTGCCGATTATGTGCAATACTTAGTAATTTTAGGAGGCTACAATAAAAATTACGACAACGTGCAGATGATATGGAATAATCGGGAAGGATCACGTTGGGCGCGTTGCATCCACGTGGTAACGAGTATGGCGCCAGGCGGTACTTTGGAACCGCATGGCGCGTGGCGTGTGGCGTCGGCCATCCTTGCGACTTACCGCTTTCGTTTTCTTCTGGAAAACTGTTGCCAATGATGCATCTTTCTTTAACAAATAATTATACACGAGACCCGCTACTAAAAATTCGTCAACGTTGCTCATGGTGCCAGGTATGTATTGCCAATCGCAAATAAAGGAGACCAATAAACTCGCGACGAACGTCGCTTCCTCAGATTCCTCTCTCGCCGGCTTCGCTACTTGCAGTGGCTACTTACTTTAATTGTGGCATCCACGCCGTCCGCAGCGCTGTTATTCAACCAAGATTTGCGTAGAAATTATAGATGGATTTCATATATGTGCCTTTCTCGATTATTCCATACGAAAAAAAATCAGCCAATCCACGCGTCTAACGTAAAATGAATAGGCGTTTTCTATTGGCTCCTACACACAGAATGCGGCCACGCTTGCCACGGCAAAATGTGACGTGTAGCTAAGGGCGCGTTCACACCTTGACGGAAAAGCAGAAAGCGGAAAAGCAGCAGCTAATCAGAACTCGCGCTGGTATTCGACAAATTCGGCTTTTTGTATTACTTACTACCAGCGCGAGTTGTGATTGGCCGCTGCTTTTCCGCTTTCTGCTTTTCCGTCAAGGTGTGAACTCGCCCTAATAAGCTTATGGCTCCCCCACACTGAACGCGGAAAAGCTTACCACGTCCAGTGTGCAGGGGCCATTATATATCTATTACTTCCGAGCAAACGAGACGTTGATTGGCTATCGCGCCAACTTCCGCCGCGCGGCAAACGTTACCACGTTCAGGTGTCTACTCATGGCAAATACCGCTATTAAAAGGAATTAGATTTTAGGGGCTTCTGAATAGTTCTGAATTATCCTGCGTTACTGCAAGTGAAGTTGGATAAATAAAACGATTGATTTAGGCCCATTTCCACAACTCACAGTTAGGGTGCCATTACATGAGCGCGGAAATATGGAAACGCGCAACCAATCAGTAATCGGTGAAACGCGAAACCATAATGCGGGGTCTACAATAGAAGTCGTAGCGGTCGTAGGGTCTTAAGTCGTAGAAAATTGACCAATCACAGTTGATTATTCTTCTCATATTCGATTGTGATTGGTCAATTTTCTACGACTTAAGACCCTACGACTGCTACGACTTCTATTGTAGACTCCGCATAACAGCGGATTGCTTCTGATTGGTTACGTTTTCTCGTGAAAATATACCTTTAAACATGTTTTCAAATTGCGCGGTAGAGTTTTAGCACTCTTTTATGTGATTGGTCGAATCTGAACGATCGCCGTTTCTTTTCAAATTCATAATCCGGTATGTGCTTGTTGGATTGTCCTTGTCGGTGTGATTTTCCGACGGTTTTATTGTGATTCGATTCTTTTGCAATATGACAGAGACGCAACAAAAGACCAAGTGTATTACTCTAAAAGGCTCTGCCGAGTTGGTCTCGCAATATCTGCGTAAGTACGATTTAAGTGAGTCAATTTTAGGCTTGAGATATCTAACCTCTGATTGTTATTCCTCGTTGCAGTCTATGGAGTCAATAGTATACTTTATCAAAGAGGGATATATCCGCCGGAGACTTTCACGCCCTCCGAACATTTCGGTCTGTTTATCTTCACGTCCACGGACGAGAAGATTACATCCTTTTTAAGTACTGTGCTGAGACAGATTGAAGAATGGCTCGTCCAGCGAAAGGTGCATAAAATCACACTGGTCATAACAAATGTCAATACAAAGGAGGTGTTGGAGAAGTGGGATTTCAAGGTTGATTATGAGGATCAGAAGGCAAATGGAACAGACGGCATCATTAAGGGTGATTTGCCTGAAGTAGGGACGAAAGATGTAAAAACTATACAGAAAGAAATACGCGAAGTGATACGTCAGATCACAGGTAGTATGAAACACTTGATGCTATTTTAAATAAAATGCTGTGATATATGTCAGGTAGCATGAAACATTCTAGCGATATTGTTGCATCGCTGAATGTTCTACGCTACGTGATTTAAGACGTTGAAACCATAATACGAAGTATTCTTACAGGTACTGTGAGCTTCTTGCCACTCCTGGATTGCCTATGTTCTTTCGACATACTTACGTACACAGTACCTGATTGTAGCATTCCCAATCAGTGGGACGAGACTCAGCCAGTTTTTATTGCAAACAGTCAAGAGGTACAACTTAGATCATTCTCAACCTCTTTACATAAAATGAATACTGTAGTTAGTTACAAAAATACCTGAGCTTATTTATTTTTTTATATGTAATATTTGTAAATACAAATTTCATTTCAACTGCATATGTGTTAACTACCATTATCAAAGACTGCTGTATTATTCCATACAGATTAGTGACTTACGGTAATTAACTGTAATACTTTATCACACAATATATTCATATTAAAACATATCCAATGTATTTATTAAAACATTATATTCGTTAATGTTTGTAACTAGCACGTCAGGTATTTTTGTGTGATGAATATATATGTATTTTAATGAAAACCAGCAGATCTCTTTTAAATATGAGTAAAGTACTAAAAGAAAAGTACAATTAAACATTATTATTAGATAATGATATATCTTGTTTATTAATGATATATCTACCACTCTCTATTAGATCTTTATTATTAGCGATATATCTGTCACTATCTATTAGATCTTTTGATAATATAAATTCAAAAAATTAAATTAGGTTTTTTGTTGAAATAATCATAATTTTTATTTTTTTTTCTTGTTCGACTATTTTAGATTTTAATTCTAAATGTAGTTTTAAGGCTATTTTTGCACTAAAAAATGGAGATATGTAGGAATAAAAAGGGTAATGGAAACACATGGAACACTGATAATAGAATCTTGGCAGATTTTATTAAAACATAATTGACCTTTACATTTAAACACAAGAATTACATTTGCGTACTTGGCAAAGCATGAGAGATACGACTAGAATAAAGTATTTTCGCTTGCCGACGCTTCATAGTAATCATCTAATGCTAGCGTCTTCCAGCGTAAAGCTTTTCTCACATGAAATCTCGTTGCTGATACTAGCCTCAACCATTTCCTAACGATTCCGTTATGCTCCATCTTTAAAATATTCGAAACGAAATCACGCATATTCAAAAAATAATTCGAAAGATCAGCGTCGTGCTCTTTTAATTTTAGATAAATCATATATTTTACAAACATACTTGTAAATACAAGTGTGACATATTCAATCATAATCTGCCTCATTTGGGTAGAAATGAAATTAAATAATAAAAATCGTTTTGTGCCTTACACACGCTATCATTTGTCCGCGATGCCCGATAATTGGCACTCGATTTGACAAATCTAAATGAATGAGAATAATTGTCTCTTATTCGAATAATCGGCACTTGCTTTGAAGCTTCATAAAAGTTTATGTATGTGTGAATAAGTTCTCTGAAGCAATCTTAAAGTATTAAAAAATTAGTAAAATTTATAATGAGAATTTTTATAAAGATATTACCAAGGATTTCTGAAAAGCATTACTTTAATTTTATAAGTATTCAAATACTTTTATTGCTGTAGGTATCCAAGTTGTATACTTTTCGTGTATCTTTATCCTATAATTTTAAATAATTAATATCTGTCATATTATTTGTTTGAATGATCATATCTAAAAATTTTACATGCACCTTTATTTCTTTTTTCTTATTATATTTTACATTACAATCTGCAATTGTACACTCACTTTTCTTTTTGCATAATAATTAAACTTAAAAAATGAAATTTGTTTTTTAACGTAATGTACTATTCATTAGACGATTATCATAAATATGGCGTTTTTACTCTTCAAAGAGTAGCCAATTATAGGAATAAAAGAGTATCGCTTCTTTCATTTATATCTGCCACTGTTCTGAGCGCATTTCGTCGAAGGAGGTTGTTTCGGGAAACATTGATGGCGACCTATACCTTTATTAGTAGTTCGCCGTTACATCTCCCTTATAATAATTTCGCTATTAACGTTAATACTTCGTGCTGCTAGAATTAGCCATATTATCAATAGTGCGTAGTCTTTTTGCTATAAAGACTATCGCGGAACGCAAACGTCCGATTCTTGTTCGCTTGGCTCGTCTTTATACGATACTTTTGAGAAAATAGCACTTTCGAGCATTCAAGATTGTAAAAAATATCCTGGATCTTTGATGCACTTTGGATGCGGTTAAAGTCTCACTATAAATGCTTTGAAGCATTTGATTGACCAGAAGAAAGAATTTTACGAATTGACTAATCAAAGGTTACTTCAAAACATTTGTAGCATTACGTTGACCGTACTCTTTTGCGAACATTTCAACAATCCATTTTTACAAATATCGAATATTTTCTATTTATGCGAATTACATTAATAAATGTTTTATATTAACACGTGTTTTTTTTTTTAATTTTCTGAAACTGAATATTTCCACGATTTGTCGTAGCGATTGTAATAATATTTTGCGATAATATAATCGTTTTTAACTTTTAAACTTTTTGGTAGACAACTTGATGACATTTGATGAAACTATAGGAATGTTCGGCGAATACAATATTTGCAGAATTTTACACATTATGTGCAAGAGATGACTTTACTTTCTAACGTTGCGCCGTTTCGCAATATAACTGCGTATAATTAGGTGTTCGTAAGATTTTCTACTCGAAATATTGTGTTTCTCTTCAAAAGCACGTGATTTACGCCAAAGACGGACATTACATTCGTAATTATTCTCTGCACCCAAGCCATACGCTCTTTAAATGTGCCCTAGACTAGTTTTGCTCTGCATTCGTTTTTTAGCTCACACACTGCGAAAGCTGCTGGAGATACGCTGCAGTTTTACAAACGTGTTTATCCCGCTAGCTCGTAACACCGTAAGAGAGCGAGCAATGATGGTAATGGAGTTCGCCGGGTCGTAAATTATTTAAAGTTCTCTCGCGATGTAAATTAGGAAAAGGGAAATTGTCATTAGAAAAGCTGGTTGGAAAAGAAGTTAACATAATGAAGAAAACATCGCTTTTTACAATGCTAATGAGCATTAAAGTGAAATACTATTTACTCGTGTAAAAATTATAAATTTTTTTATGCGCACAATTATATGTAGGCTACTAATTAAAATTGATTTGAAATTTTAAAATGCAATAGCGGTAATAATTCTAAAATTCTTAATTATTGAAATGCAATTTTATCGTTAATGTTTTACCGATAAAAACAATAATACTTATTCATGCAGATATTAACAATCGCATGATGATA